CAACATGCCTCCCAGGCAAAAGATGCGTGTTTCGGGAAATTCTTCTTCAGGCAAATTATTTTTCCTGGAAAAGAATACAAATACAATATAACACAATATACTTTACATAGAAAAGAGGAAAGAAAGCGCTAGCTTGCTGCACTCACCCAAAGCTCACAACGCCACAGTGCACAAGTCAAACAACTCTGTAGAAGGCTTCTCCGGTTCCCCATAGGAACCGTCCAGAAAGACCACTCTAGTAAAATACAGCTGCACTGATGATTCCAAGAGAATTAAAGGAACCTTAACCCTAACCCTATGAGCTGCGGTGGCTCAAGTGGTTAAGACGCTGAGCTGTAGGCTGTGGAAGGTCGGTAGTTCAGCAGTTCGAGACCTGAGTGTGCCGCATGACGGAGTGAGCTCCCGTCTCTAGTTCCAGCTCCTGCCAACCTAGCAGTTGGAAAGCAAGAAATTGCAAGTAGATAAATAGGTACCACTTCAGTGGGAAGGTAACAGTGTTCCGTGCGCCTTGGTGTTTAGTCATGCCGGCCACATGACCACGGAAATGTCTTCGGACAGTGCTGGCTCTTTGACTTTGAAACGGAGATGAGCACCGCAACCCTAGAGTCTGATTCGACTGGCTTTTGAGCAAGGGAACCTTTCCCTTTAACCCTATGACTATAACTAGCTAATTGCTTGAATTCTGAACCAGATTGTAAAATTACACAATTTCAAAAAGAATACAGTATCACAATCTTAACAGTTCCAGCGCTTTGAGTAACATTACAGAATTCAAGGGGAAATCCCAACATTACATACATGACCAAAAGCTCAATAATAAAGATGCTACTTGTGGAAAGCAAACACCAAGAATGAAAAAATGAACCAGAATCCAGACTACAATACCCACAAATATACCATTTATAAAAATGAACTGAGGTCTAAGGATACATTTAAACCATGAGGAGATACTGTGTTAAATGTATGTATTAAAAAGCCTCTTTTTGAAGCAGTAGTCTATGTACATCATGAATATCATATGTCTTGTTACTAACCACCCTGTAGATTGCCAAACATTGTAGATCATTAAATTCATGCTTTTGATCCAAATAGTGACTCAGAATGCGAGCATATTCGTCTCTGCAGCTGTGGACTTTCCAACAAGATATATGTTGTTTTTTACGTTTTTGTTATCAATGTGCTATAATTATTAAGATACATTAGGGCAGGGGTGTCAAACATGCGGCCCGGTGCCCGGATCAGGCCCCCAGAGGGCTCCTATCAGGCCCGCAGTGGAACTGGCTGTCTTCTGCTTCTTCTTCCGGTTCTGCTGCTGCTGCATCATCGTAGGTTTGCAGCTTACAGATACACACCTGAACAGCATACTCAAGACTACAACGGCACAGACATTTTGATGCGATAATTCAGAGCAAGAGGTGTCAGTTATCAGACACTGTTAACTAAACAAAATACTACAAGAGTGCTAATGTTTTAAGCATGTTTTTATTTTAAGTAAAAATTAAACCCCTTTGTGTTTGCGTCCTTTATAAAGTTTATATCTCCGCTACCTGGCATTATTTTTTATGACATGCATGGCCCGGCCCAACAAGGTCTCATTTATGTCAGATCTGGCCCTTGTAACAAATGAGTTCGACACCCCTGGCCTAGACCATGCATCACACATGAAGGTGCCTTATACTGAATCAGAACCTCAGTCCACTAAGGTCAGTATTATCTACACAGATGGACAGCGGCTCTCCATGGTCTCATAAGAGCGTAAGGGAAGCCATGTTGGATCAGGCCAATGGCCCATCTAGTCCAACACTCTGGGTCACACAGTGGCCAAAAATATTAGGTGCCATCAGGAGGTCCACCGGCGAGGCCAGAATTCCAGAAGCCCTCCCACGGTTGCCCCCCCAAGCACCAAGAATATAGAGCACTACTGCCCCAGACATAAGAGAAGCCATGTTGGATCAGGCCAGTGGCCCATCCAGTCCAACATTCTGTGTCACACAGTGGTCAAAACCCAGGTGCCCTCAGGAGGTCCTCCAGTGGGACCAGAACTCCAGAAGCCCTCCCACTGTGGCCCCCCAAGCACCAAGAAGACAGAGCATCACTTGCCCCAGACTGAGCGTTCCACGAACAGCCACTGATGGACCTCTGCTCCATATGCTTATCCAGCCCTCTCTTAAAGCGGTCTATTTCTGTAGCCGCCATCTGCAGCAGTGAATTCCACATGTTCATTACTCTTTGGGTGAAGAAGGACTTCCTTTGAATAAGAACATAAGAGAAGACAGAGGTCTTTCACATCACCTACGACCTTTTAACAGGAGATGCCGGGGATCGAACCCGGGACCTTCTGCACACCCAGCAGAGGCTCTTCAAAGTGGGCGTAAATTGTAATTGTGTGGATTTGATTTCTAAATGAGCTGTAACCTCTGTCCTTAGGGTGCATTTAGGAATGAAAAGGTGGGCTAGAAATGATTCAAATTAATTAATACAGCAGCTCCCAACGGGCATGGTTATATTTGCAGAATACCGACAGTCTTGTGGTTGTTACTATTTGGTGCTTTGTGTCTCACCGCTAAGAGGAATGTGCTAACGTTTGTCGAGCAGAGCGGGTGGATAAAACCCAATAACCGTATCTGTGGAAAATACTTGTGCATTTGAGGGAAACAGATAAGCGGCGGATTTGTACGCGTTATCTTGGTGGAGCAGATGGAAGATCGTGCGTGTTTTCTCAGCGCGGAAGCACACACCTATGGGCTAGAATTTTAATTTTAAAAAGATAGTCTGCATTGTAGTCTGCATTCTTCGTTATCAGCAGTCTCCCCCCCCCCCCCCGAGATAAACACTTTAAAGCCAGGGCGGCGCATGCGCACCATCCAAGCATGAGCAGGTGACTCAGCTACATATTTGCATGTCAGGAAAGAGCTGTTCTTCTTCACAGCGTTGCTGGCTTGCCTTAGAATTTGGCCGCCGTGCCCTTTTCTCTGTGGAAAGTCATCTTTTATTAGGGTTCCTGACCAGCTGCAGATTGTGCTGGGGTTAGCAAGATATCGATTAGTTGTCAGACAAGCTGAGTTTTACGAATGCTGGAATGGCCTTCGAACTCCCGTTTCTGGCCCTTGGAAAAGCAAACCATTGTGACGGGACAGTAGGGAGGGGAGAATTATGTCCCTCGTTGCCCATAAAAGTGGGCTGACACCCCTGGTTTAGTCATGCCATGCTGGGCCGTGAAACGGGCACAGTCAGAGAGGGAAGTCCTTTTCTCCCTTTCTCACAATACAAGAACTTGTGGGCACTCCATGAAATTGGGTTAGAACAGATAAAAGGAAGTCCTTCTTCACCTAGAGTGATTAACACATGGAATTCATTGCCACAGGAGGTGGCAGTGGCTACAAGCATGGATAGCTTCGAGAGGGAATTAGATAAGCATACGGAGCAGAACTCCACCAGTGGCTATTAGCCACAAGGTCTAGATAGGAACTCTCAGTCTGGGGCAAGTGGTGCTCTGTCTTCTTGGTGCTTGGGGGGGGGCAACAGTGGGAGGGCTTCCTGGCCCCACTGCTGGACCTCCTGATGGCACCTGGTATTTTTGGCCACTGTGTGACAGAGTGTTGGACTAGATGGGCCACTGGCCTGATCCAACATTGGCTTCTCTTATGTTCTTATGGAATGTGTGATGCTCTGTATTCTTGGTGCTTGGGGGGGGGGCAGCAGTGGGAGGGCTTCTAGTGTCCTGGCCCCACTGCTGGACCTCCTGATGGCACCTGGTATTTTTGGCCACTGTGTGACAGTGTGTTGGACTGGATGGGCCATTGGCCCGATCCAACAGTGGCTTCTCTTATGTTCTTAACGTGGTCATAGTGACCATATCACTCCCATCTTGAGAGCCAGTTTGGTGTAGTGGTTAAGAGCGGTGGACTCTAATCTGGGAGGACTGGGTTTGATTCCCCACTTCTCCACTTGCAGCTGCCGGATGACCTTGGGCAAGCCATAGTTCTGTCGGAGCTGTTCTCTCAAGGACAGTTCTGGAAAGAGCTCTCTCAGCCGCACCCACCTCACAGGGTGTCCGTTGTGGGGAGGGGAAGGGAAGGAGAATAGTAAGCTGCTCTGAGATTCCGAGTGGAGGGCGGAGTATAAATCCAATCTCCTCTTCTTGGCCGATCTATACTGGCTCCCAGTTTATTTCCACATGCAAGTTAAGGTGCTGGTCTTGACCTTCAAAACTCTATACCCAGGAGTCATTTGGTAGAAAAAGAGGTGCAGGAGCTCATTAGCATAACTCATTAGCATAACTCATTTGCATATGCCACACCCCCTGACATCACCGGAAGTGTGTCAGAAGGCAACACCCACTGCTCAGGCTCCACTGGACGGTTTTGGATAGCTAGCTATTTGGGGGGGGGACGTGCAGATCTGTCCCTCACAGAGGGGGGGAGAGCTTGTACCTGAATAAAACTTGGTCTTAAAGGTACCACTGGACTGTTTTGGACCAGGGGGTAGAGGGGGGCTCTGCAACTTACCTGGCTGCTTCTTGCTGACTGAGGGCTGCTGGGAGCAGGGGGCGGGGCTTGTTGCATGTGCCCGCCCTCTGGGCTCTTTACTGCTGGACCTCCTGATGGCACCTGGGCTTTGGCCATCTTTTGACAGAGTTTTGGACTGGATGGGCCATTGACCTGATCCAACGTTGGCTTCTCTCATGTTCTTACGAATGAGTCTAGAGAGAATCTTCCCGGTGAGTGGCAATGCTCCCTCCAAGCTCTGGAGTCTCATGAGCAAAAATCCTACTTTGTGAACTACTGGCATTAAAGTTGTGAGCAAGCGATATGGCTACTGCATACATTAGTTTGCTCTGGAGCCATTCCTTCCTGAGCTAAGACAAAAATGTGTGAGCCGGAGGCTAAAAAACGGTGCGCTAGCTCACACTCACTCAGCTTAGAGGGAACGCTGGTGAGCGGCATGCGTGTCTCCCCGGTTAGGCCTAACTAATGTATGCCTCTGATTTCTCTCCCCAGCGTTTTTTAGGTGCCAAAGACACAGTCGGACGCCGCGTGGGGCGAGACGAGCTGAGGGAGGATCCCGGCCTGCCGGGGGAAATGGACTGGCTGTGACGGGGCCTGCCTGCCGCGCCTGGAGGGGGGTGGGGGGCTGCCGATGATGAAGAGTTCCTGCAGAGCCGGCCTCCACAGGGAACTGCTGAACTCCACGTCCTCCGCCTTCCAACAGGTCAAACGGTACGTGAGACTCACAGTGCGGGGCGCTGCGGCTCAGTGCCAGTACCCCCAGTTAAAGGGTCTTGGGCAGGGGGTCTCCAACGCGGTGCCCGCAGGTGCTGTGGCACCTCCTGACCCTTTTTCTGGCGCCCGGCAAGTGTTCCCAGAAAGTGGGCGGGGCCCGGTAAGGCTTTCCCCAGCAGGGCTTCTGATTGGCCGTGCAGGTTTTTTAAAAAATGTCTCTTTGGCAGCAGCTGCCAGCACAAGACCAGGATCTATACTACGTGAATGAAGGAAAGACGCAGCAGCCATTTTGTGGCTGGCCCTACCTCCTGCGGCAGCTGTAGCAAACACCATGCTGTGTCAGAATGCCAAATGTGCCTGCGGACCCAGAAAGGTTGGGGACCCCTGGTCTTGGGGAACAGCTGCTGGGAAACAGCTATAGTGGCGTCGTGGTTAGGAGCGCGGACTCTGATCTGGGGGAACCGGGTTTGATTCCCCACTCCTCCACATGCAGCTGCTGGTGTGACCTTGGGCCAGTCACAAGTTCTCTCAGAGATGTTCTCTCAAGGGCTGTTTCTGTCAGAGCTCTCTCAGCCCCACCTACCTCACAGGGTGTCTGTTGTGGGGTAGGGAAGGGAAAGGAGTTTGTAAGCCGCTCTGAGACACCTTTGGGTAGTGAAGGGCGGGGTATAAATCCAATCTCTTCTTCTTCTTTTACCTCACAGGGGTGTCTGTTGTGGGGAGGGGAAGGGAAAGGAGTTTGTAAGCCACTCTGAGACTCCTTCGGGTAGTGAAGTGCGGGTATAAATCCAATCTCTTCTTTTGAGAGGGCGGGGTATAAATACAATCTCTTCTCTTCTTCTTCTATCTTTCCAAGCGCCGACCCTGCTTAGCTTTGGAGATCAGTCCACACCATGCCTCCTTCCCCCCTAGTTCGTTGCTTAATATCCTCCAAGGACAAGAGTTGGCATCAATGTGGTTCTGAGATAGGAATTCAAGGCTGCCTTATACCGAGTCTGCACCTAGTGGCCCACCTAGACCATTCCATGTTTAATCGTTTTATATTTTTAAAGTTTGTCTCTTCTCTTTTGTATTGTTTTTATTGGGGGTATTAGCGGTCCCGTGTCCCATTCAGGGGAGAGGTATATAAATTTGATAAATAAAAATAAATAACTAGGTTTCCATGTTCATAGATGTCCTTGAGGCAGACAAGTAAGGAGGCTTCTTCACCCAAAGAGTGATTAACACTTGGAATTCACTGCCACAGGAAGTGGCGGTGGCTGCAAGCATGGACGGCTTCGAAAGGGAATTAGATAAGCATATGGAGCAGAGGTCCATCAGTGGCTATTAGCCACAAGGTATAGATAGGGTCTCTGGGGCAAAGGATGCTCTGTTCTTCTTGGTGCTTGGGGGGGGGGTCAACAGTGGGAGGGCTTCTAATGTCCTGGCCCCACTGGTGGACCTCCTTATGACACCTGGTAATTTTGGCCACTGTGTGACACAGAGTGTTGGACTGGATGGGCCTTTGGCCTGATCCAACATTGGCGTCTCTTATGTTCTTATGAGGCTGGGTTGCATCCAGCCTCTCGCTCAGCAACAGCGGCACGATCCTCGGGCGCAAGGAGCTTTCCTCTGATTCAGCTCTTGCCCCAAAGGAGGTCTCCTTGCAGCGGACTAATGTGTGTGTTTATGTGTGCGCGCGCACGCAATGTGAGGGTTGTTTTTTTAAATAAACTTTATTATCAATACACAGATACGATAACATATAAAACAATATATGCAACCATTACATTAATAACAGCAATAGTAAGAACAATGAGAAACGTTTGAATAAAAAGAATACAACACGAGAGGAATCAGGAACTGTAAATAGCATCAATAACACTCGTAACAAACCATTGTGATTGTGTCCGAGATTGAAGCGTGAGCATCTCTGGTAGATAAATATGCCAAGAAGGGAAACCAAATTGAAGTAAAATTGGAATCCTCAGAGCCTGCCGTTCTAGAAAAGATAGCATCGGGAAGTTTTTATCCATAAGGCAAAATTTGCATACCTTCTTTAATCGTACGGAGATGGAGATGCAATGTGAGTTAACGTGTCCCTCTCTTGTTTCCTTTCCTAGAATATCTGGCATGCACTTAAAGCCATATCTCAAGCTCCAGAAGAAAGAGCGGCCTCTCGAAATCAGCCCGGACCCCCCGCGAACCCCACCCATGAGCCAAGAGCGGCTGGTGAGCGAGGAAAAGCACAGCAGCCCCCAGGCTGGCCTCGTAGCCAGCCCCCCTCTCCGCAAGCCCCTGGGGAACCTCTCCGCCCACTCCCTCTGCGGCAGGCATGCGGAATGCTGGCCGCGTCCACCCCGAAGGGCGGGGCGGGAAAGAGAAGTGGGTCGCCCTGCCCGCCACCATCCACCAGGGGGAGGATGGGGAGCCGCTGCTGGACATCTGGGCGGTTGTGAAGCCGGGGAACACCAAGGAGAAGATCGCCTTCTTCGCGGCCCAGCAGTGCGGCGACAACCGGCTATCCTCCATGAAGAACAAGAGCACCTGGGACATCGACGGGAGGGCGACCAAGCGGAGGAAAAAATCGCTGGACCTCCGGAAGGCCAAGACCCACCTGGAAAGGCCGCGGGAGACCAGCGGGAGGTGCCACCAGCCCGAGCCCTTCGCCTGCGGCATTGAGCACTGCTCCGTCCATAATGTGAACGACGGCGGGGAGGGGGGTTTCCCCGGGAGGCCCCTCTCCGTGATCGAGATGGTCGCTTTCCTGGAACAACGAGCGAGCGTTTTGCTCGCCGACTGCACCAAGATCTGCCCCAGTGCCCCGACCGTGACCAGGTGTCCCGGGCAGGCCAAAATCACACTTCCCGCATCCGGCCCCCTTTCCAACTTAGGGGGCTACGAGACCCCGTCTGAAAGGGCAACCTGCGGGGCCAGCGGCGACGGGGAGCAGCAGGCCGAGCCCGTGCGCGTGTTGGACATGGTGGCGAAGCTCGAATCGGAGTGCCTGAGACGGCAAAGCGAACGGGAGGCGGGAAGCCTCTCGAGAAACAACAGCTTCCGGCGGAACGTCGGGCGGGTGCTCCTGGCAAGCGGGACGCCGGCCGAGAACGAAGTCAGCAAGGAGCCTCCCGGAGTTCTTAATCAGGAGGAACGGGGGAGGGATGACGGCGAGTGGCGATCAAAGCATGGCTCTACGGAAGAAGACAATTACTGGGAAGTCCCGCCAGCTCGCCAGTCACCGTCGTCGGTGGAGATCTCCAGTTCTAAGCGTGGTCTGGGAGCCTCATCACCTCCTGAGGTCATGCTGCCACTCCCTTCTACGTATCCAGAAGCTGCTCGAGCACGCCCACGTTCCTTCCGCGGGGAAAACGCAGCCCTTGATCCTACACCTAAAGAACCAGGAGATGTTCCCAATCCAAATGCAAATCTAAGGACAAAAGAGTCCTTAACTATTAGCATCTCTGTCATAAAGACAGAAAAGTTGTGTAGAAAAGGGCACCCTTCTGACTTGAGTTTTGGGGAGGATTCTCTTCCGGGGAGGTTATTCCTACTGCTGTCTGAGCGTGAAACTTGCCACAAGCATCTCCGCACAGGGGATGCTACTGCAGAAGAGTATCGAGCCGACGTTCGCGGGAAGGAAGACCCTCCCACCGACACGCCTCGTGTGATCGGCAGCGTCTCCGGGGAGCCCGCGGAGTCGCCCGTGGAAGGCCTCCCGCAGGGCCCCGACTCTTGCCAGCTAAAGAGGCAGCGGTCTCACGACTTCTTGGAGACCCGCTTCAAGATCCAGCAGCTGCTGGAGCCCCAGCAGTACCTGATCTTCCTGCCCCACCACATCCTCGTGAAGATCTTCGGCCTCCTGCCCACCAGGAGCCTGGTGGCCCTCAAATGCACTTGCGGGTACTTCAAGTTCATCATTGAGTACTACAACATCCGGCCGGCGGACTCCCGCTGGGTGCGCGACCCCCGCTACCGGGAGGACCCTTGCAAGCAGTGCAAGAAGAAGTACGTCAAGGGGGACGTCTCGCTCTGCCGGTGGCACCCCAAGCCCTATTGCCAAGCCCTGCCCTACGGACCCGGCTACTGGATGTGCTGCCACCTGGCCCAGAAGAACGTCCCCGGGTGCAAACTGGGCCTACACGACAATCACTGGGCCCCCGCCTGCCACACCTTTAACCGCGCGATTCACAAGAAGCCCAGGGAGACGGAAGAGGAGTGTTAGCCCCGGCCCGGCGGCTTCTCTGGGAGGCTTCCGTTCCTCTACAGTTTCACGCCTTGTGCTGTTTACGCTGTACATAGTTTGTGGGTGGTTCCCCCCCCTTCCTGTCTCCCTTCCACGGGGCTTTGAAACTGCACATACTTTAAATCACGAGAGCCTTTTAGAGGAGAGAGAGAGCGCCCGCCCGGCCCACCTGTGTAAATAACGTTCCAGAAATCCCCTTTTCGTCTGCAAGGGCTGTCTTCTCGCCAGCCGGTTAACCCGAACCCCTCCGAAATCGCCACAATGCAGCGGCCGAGAGCGTTGTGGCTACTCAGTCCCTGTGTCTTTTTTAAAGTGGTCTCGTTCTCGGAAATCTGTATATCCTGTATAATATATACATATTATATATAAATATATATATATATTAAAAATGTTTCTGGGAAAAGAAACTCTAAATAGGGAAAGGTGAATCCGCAGAGAGATGGTTTAAACTGGACAACGTTTTTTTAAAAAAAAACTAGCCTAGAACAAATATTTGTTATATCTTGGGGGTGGGGTGGGGCATCGGAGGAAAGAGGAATGTTATGGTTTAGAAAAGGATGTTCGAGAAAAGCTCTAGTTGACTGCCCACCTTCTCTGGTTTTCCTTTTCTTTCTTTTTTTTACTTAAATAAAATGTGCATTCTAAATCGGCCTTTACTCTTTGTGTCGTCTCTGCCTCCCCCTTCCCCCAAGGGCAGTACTGTAAAATGTCAGGCTGTGCAAAAATGTAGCTAGAAGGAGAAGAGATTGGATTTATCCCCCGCCCTTCACTAACCCAAAGGAGTCTCAGAGCGGCCTACAGACTCCTTTCCCTTCCCCTCCCCACAACAGACACCCTGTGAGGCAGGTGGGGCCGAGAGAGCTCTTTCGAGGACTGCCCTTGAGAGAACAGCTCTGAGATAACTTGTGACTGGCCCAAGGTCACACCGGCAGCTGCTTGTGGAAGAGTGGGGAATCGAACCCGGTTCTCCCGGATTAGAGTCCGCGCTCCTAACCACTACGCCAAACTGGCTCTAGTTAGGGAAGCAATGGGTGTGGCTGATGTGCTTCGGACTCCAGTTCAGAGAGCCAGTGGGGTGTAGTGGTTAAGAGCACTGGACTACGTTCCACGAGACCCAAGTTCGAATCCCTGCTCAGGCATGGAATCTCTCTGGGTGACCTTGGGACAGTCACGCACTCTCGGCCTAACCTGTCCCGGAGGGCTGTCGGGGAGGATAAAACGGAGGGGAGGAGAATGACGGAAGCTGGCTTCCGTCATTCTCCTCCCCTCCGTTTTACCCTCCCTGACAGCCCTCCGGGACAGGTTAGGCATAAAGGGAAAATATCAGATCTAATGGGAGAAGCTCACTCTTGGAAACAGTGGAGAGGATTTCCCCAGGAGCTGACTGATTTGCTCAGGAAAATCTTCCCTGGAGGTCATGAGACCATTGTGGACACAATTTGGGGGTGGGGGTGGGGGGTGCAGTGAGGAAGGGGAATCGGGCAAAGGTGCTTTATACGAACATAAGAGCATCCCTGCTAGATCAAACCAGTGGTCCGTCTCCTCTCTCACACAGCGGCCAACCAGTTCCTCTGGACGGCCCACAACAGGGCACAGAGGCCGAGGTCTTCCCCTGATGCTGCCTCCTGGCTCTGGGATTCAGAGGCGTTGTGCCTCTGAGTGTGGAGGTTCCCCTCAGTCACCATAGCTAGTAGCAATCGTTAGATGTATCCTTCATGAATCTGTCTAGAGAGCCAGTTTGGTGTAGTGGTTAAGAGAGCAGATTCTAATCTGGGAAAACCAGGTTTGATCCCCCACGCCTCCACATGCAGCTGCTGGTGTGACCTGAGGTCAATCACAAGTTTTCTCAGAGCTGTTCTCTCACGAGCAGTCCTCAAAAGAGCTCTCTCGGCCCCACCTATCTCACAGGGTGTCTGTTGTGGAGAAGGGAAGAGAAAGGAGATTATAAGTCATTTTGAGACTTGAGGGCAGGGTATAAATTCATTCTCTCTCCTCCTCTTTCAATTCCTGGGGCCATCATTACATTCTCTGGCAGCAAATTCCACATTTTAATCACTCTCTGTGTAAAGTAGTATTTCCTGTTGTCTGTTCTGGACCTACTGCCCATCAGCTGCATTGGATAACCTGACTGCTAGTCTTTTGGGAGAGGGAGAAAAAGTTATCTTTGTCAACTCTCTCCATTCCATGAATCCTTAATAATAATTCCTTTACTTATTGGCCATTTCCAGCTCTCCCATTGGCTGTGCATTGCATTCCATCAGCCATTGGCCCATCAACTGCCACTCAAGAGTACTCACGTGCCATTGGCTGGGGGCTGGGTCCACTTCCCTTCCCCGCCCACTGCCAACCTGGACACTCTTCCCTGACAGGAAAAAAACTGCCGAAAACGGCTCTTCTGACGAAGACACTTCTTCTGCTTCGCTCCTCTGTGGGACTAACTTTTCCCTCAGTGGCTGTTGTTGGGCAACCAAGCTTGGTTCTGTCAGTAAAAAGAGAAAGGCAGGAATCTATTTTGTGATGGACAGAACATAAGAACATAAGAGACGCCAATGTTGGATCAGGCCAAAGGCCCATCCAGTCCAACACTCTGTGTCACACAGTGGCCAAAATTACCAGGTGTCATCAGGAGGTCCACCAGTGGGGCCAGGACATTAGAAGCCCTCCCACTGTTGACCCCCCCCCAAGCACCAAGAAGACAGAGCATCACTTGCCCCAGAGCCCCTAGCTATACCTTGTGGCTAATAGCCACTGATGGACCTCTGCTCCATATGCTTATCTAATTCCCTTTTGAAGCCGTCCATGCTTGTAGCACCCACCACTTCCTGTGGCAGTGAATTCCATGTGTTAATCACTCTTTGGGTGAAGAAGTACTTCCTTTTATCCGTTCTAACCCGACCGCTCTGCAGTTTCATGGAGTGCCCACGAGTTCTTGTATTGTGAGAAAGGGAGAAAAGTACCTCTTTCTTTACCTGCTCTTTCCCATGCATAATCTTATAAACCTCGATCATGTCACCCCTCAGTCGTCTTTTCTCCAAGCTAAAGAGCTCCAAGCTTTAACCTTTCCTCATAGGGAAAGTGTTCCAACCCTTTTATCATTCGAGTTGCCCTTTTCTGCACTTTTTCCAAAGCTATAATATCCTTTTTAAGGTGTGGTGCCCAGAACTGCACACAGTATTCCAAATGAGGTCTTACCATTGATTTATATAGGGGCATTATTATATTGGCTGATCTGTTTTCAATACCCTTCCTAATAATCCCCAGCATAGCATTGGCCTTCTTTATTGCAGTCACACACTGTCTCGACATTTTCAGTGAGTTATCCACTACAACTCCAAGATCTCTCTCTTGCTCAGTCTCTGCCAGTTCAGACCCCATCAATGTGTATTTATATTTAGGATTTTTGGCTCCAATGTGCATCACCTTGCACTTGGCCACATTGAACCCCATTTGCCATGTTGACGCCCACTCGCCCATCCTTGACAGATCCCCTTGGAGTGCCTCACAATCCTCACTGGTTTTCACCACCCTGAACAACTTTGTATCATCCGCAAATTTAGCCACTTCACTGCTTACTCCCATCTCCAAATCATTAATGAACAAGTTAAAAAGCAGTGGACCAAGTACTGATCCCTGCGGTACCCCACTGCTTACCACCCTCCACTGAGAAAATTGCCCACCTACACTCACTCTCTGTTTTCTATGAACTAGCCAGTTTTTGATCCATAAAAGGACTTGTCCTTCTATCCCATGATTTTTGAGCTTACTTAGGAGCCTTTGATGAGGAACTTTATCAAAAGCTTTCTGGAAGTCAAGGTAAATAATATCTATTGGATCCCCCTTGTCCACATGTTTGTTCACCCCCTCAAAGAACACTAACAGGTTAGTGAGACAAGATCTTCCCTTACAGAAACCGTGCTGAGTCTGCCTCAATAGGTTTTGTTCATCTATGTGCCTACTAATTCTTTCCTTAATAATGGTTTCCACCAATTTACCCGGTATCGACGTCAGACTGACTGGCCTGTAATTTCCCGGATCTCCTCTGGAACCCTTTTTAAAGATGGGAGTGACATTAGCTACCTTCCAATCCTCAGGAATGGAGGCAGATTTTAAGGAAAGATTACATATCTTTGTCAGGAGATCTACAAGTTCACATTTGAGTTCTTTCAGAACTCTCGGATGTATGCCATCTGGGCCTGGTGATTTTTCAGTTTTTAAGTTGTCTATCAGTTTTAGGACCTCCTCTCTCATCACCTCAATCTGACTCAGGTCTTCCAACACCCCTCCTGAAATCAGTGGTTCTGGAGTGGGCAAGCACTTCTCATCTTCCACAGTGAAGACGGAGGCAAAAAATGCATTTAGCTTCTCAGCCATTTCCCTATCATCCTTCAATACTCCTTTTACCCCTTGGTCGTCCAAGGGCCCCACTGCCTCCCTGGCTGGTTTCCTGTTTCTAATGTATTTGAAGAAAGTTTTATTGTTGGTTTTTACGTTTTTTGCTATATGCTCCTCATATTCCCTTTTTGCCTGCCTGACCTCAGACTTGCATTTTATTTGCCATAGCCTGTGTTCCGTTTTATCAGCCTCACTGTGACTAGCTTTCCACTGCTTAAAGGAATTCTTTTTACTTTTTACAGCCTCCATTACTCTGTTTGTTAACCATGCAGGCTTTTTCCTATACCTGTTTGTGCCTTTCCTAACCTGCGGAATATATATTTTTTGAGCTTCTAGGATCGTAGTTTTAAATAGATCCCAAGCTTCCCCAATTGTTTTGACCCTTTCTACTTTTCCTTTCAGTTTCCTCCCCACGTGTCCCCTCATATCAGAGAAATTACCCCTTTTAAAGTTAAAAATGGTTGTGTGAGTCTTTTTGGCCAATTCTCTATTTGTACAAATGATGAACTCAACAACATTATGATCACTGTTTCCAAGCGGTGCAATCACTTTTACATCTCTCACCAGGTCTTGAGTGTTACTTAGGACCAAATCAAGGATCGCCTCTCCCCTGGTAGGTTCCGTGACCATCTGCTCCATAGCACAGTCATTTAGAGTGTCTAGAAACTCAATCTCTTTTTCCCGACTAGAACACATATTGACCCAATCAATGTGTGGGTAGTTAAAATCACCTATTATTACACAGTGTTTTTGTCTAGTTGCTATCTTTAAGGCATTCATCATTTTATAATCCTCCTCTATCTTTTGATCTGGTGGGCGATAACAAACTCCCAGTGTTAAGTTTCCTTTTGGCCCCCCTATTTCAACCCATAGAACTTCCAGAAGCGAATCCAATTCACTTAGCCTCTCAATCTTTCTAGACTTTATACCCTCTCTGACATACAGAGCTACCCCACCTCCAACCCTT